CAGAAAAGCAGACTTAGAGTACTAGGGAATTAAATTATTAAGTATACAAAACCTACCAGATTTAGATATTACGTGATTTTTGGCTAGACAGAGACCTGGATTTCAACCCAGGAATGCACTTAGTGTGTCTATTGATAGTTTAAGGTTGTTGAGTGCAAGTCACCAGGGACTAAAGGTTCTGTGAAAAAAGCAACAAAAAAACTGGATCCAAATGTAGGACTGCGCAAAACAAGGGTCCTCCCTGAGATTTTAGGGAGCAGAAGTCAACACCAAGATGCTGCATTTTCAAACTTCGGCCTTTGACTCCTCTCCTGCAGTGCTGCTGATGGAAAAATTGCAATTTCCATTCCATCGATTTTCCTTCTCAATTTCCAAAGCTTCCTTTCTACAGAGCACTGGTAGGAACTCCTCTCCCTGGAGCAGTAAGAGCCTCAAAGAGAGCAGCTCCAGTACATGTGGCTGAGAACATGGTTGGTGAAATCATACACAAGGTGCCCAAAGAGAAACCAAGTGGTTACTTTGGCAGCTCTGGCTATCAGCAGGGAACTGGAAGCTTGAAGAGTTGCAGCTCAACCATTTAAAACACTGGTTTTCTCTAGAAAAGGGGGAAATAGAACTGTTTTCCTTCTTTTTAGTACTTTCCTGCTAGAGTAGATAAAGGCTGACAAAAGGTTTAAATGAGGCTGTTATGGAAGGGATGCCATCTGTCCTGTCTGTACAGACAAACCAGAACCTGCCAGGTCAGCCTGTAAAAGCTGTTTCACAGTGACACCTCCCTGCCCCGAGCTCCAGGAGTGCAAACAGCAGCCTTCATCATGGAAATGGAGGCCTGGGCATCCCAGGGTCTCCTTCTAACAACGTGCTGGTGTTTAAATCCCTGAGGCAGCAGCTGCTGTGTTTGCAGCAGGTGTGGCCCCAGTACAAGTGTGCACACAGGCACTCCCTGCCTGGTGGAGGAACAGCAAGCAACCTGCACAGAACCACACCGAGGGCAGCTCTAAACACCCTCCCACAAAGAAACTTTGACCTGTGCTGTGTAACCACAGAGGAGGCACAGCCCTGCCCTCAAGAGCCTCTGCCACCAGGGGCAAGCAAATAATCTGCTCCACAGTGCCAAAGTGAAATGAGAAATGCATTATATTCTTCCAGTTCCCTGGTTCACTCTCCCTAGACACCAGCATCATTAAAAATCTCTTTAAAAAAGAGAACTGAAAGCTAACAGATATACATCTATTGAAATTTGAAAAAAAAAATAACAACCTGCAAACAAACCCACAAAAAGAGGTATTGCTTTTTTAAATTATTTATCATATTCCTAGAGAGAAGAAAAAAGCTCAGAATTAGCTTTGAATTAGAAGAGAGAGCTTATAACAGAATAGAGAGTAAATTACTGCTCTGAACAGAAGTGAGAAGAAATGTAACTGATCTTTCTGTAGCAAACCTTACCAGTACCAGTTTTGCTTCCTTTTATTTTTCATCCTTGCTTTTCCTTGGTCAGGCTAATATATCACACCTGAAATAGGCCTAGCCAACAGGCTAGAAAAGGTTTTGATTTTCATAGGATAATGAGGAATGCTGTTATTTTTTGCAGTGCTCTTGAACTTTTGACTGGAAATACTTTATTAACTTTCAAGCTACCCAATGCTCCCTGAAGAAGCAAATTACAGAGTATTTGAGACTTAAATCCAGGAACAAATGGATGTCAAACCCTCCACAGACTTTATGCCCATCCAGCTATCTCTTGCCTGTGTTTGGCCTCTATAAAGACACAAGCCTGCTGGATTGAAGCCTGACATCCACAGGGGTGACTGCCAGCCCTCAGTGACATCTGAGAAAGTGAATGTGAGTCTGGGAATGTACATGGGGCCTCCCAGTAATGCAGTGCCTCTGAGGAACTGGATTGCATTGCCAGAAATGGCAACGAGCCCAACTCCACTTCTGGAGACTCCAAACACCCCTGGCCACAAAAGCACTGTCAAAGGAACCACCACTAACAAAGAGCAGTCTGAGGAGAATGCTGCTGTGATGCAGAGCCAGGGGGTAACAGTCTGAAAGGAAAAGTCTGTGTGTGGAGGATTTTCCCTGTGTTTCTCTAATACCTGCACTTTATGTACGTGTACAAGCTTATGTACATTTATTTACATGCTCTGCTTGTGTATGTATTGGTACCTGCTTCAGGAGCACAAGCACTGTGATTTAAAATGCAGGCACAACCTGCTTTCCATCAAGCTGCTTCTCCAGTGCTGGATTTCTCATTCCAGCCAATAAGTGGATTTATTATTGTAATGAAGACACTTCTTTGCCTTCTTGTGAGGCTCTTGTGTCATCTCTCAAAGCCCAAAAACATCACATGAAAAGCTTCCAGTGACTTCAGAGGCTTATAACTCAGCACAGAAAATAAATATAAAATGAAGGTTCCAGTTATCACAAATTACTGCAGTAATGATTTACACAGAGTTTAAATTTCAGAGCACGTGGTTTGTGACAGTGCTTGGAAAATCCTTCTTTCTACCAACCAAATTTGTAAAGAGCAGGAGCTGTGGGAATCCCTAACTTGCATAAGTTAAGGCTATAAACTGAGCCCACAGAACCAGTGGAATCACTCTTCCACCACCTGTGTGAAGCCTGTGGCCTGGAGAGTGACCAGAACATGTCACAATGTCACACAAAACTTCAGGTATGAAAATTTGTATACATAAAAGTGATCTAAGGGCCCAGTGCAAAGTTTTCTGTAACTCATTTCCCAATACTTTTACCTTAAGTTTACACACCTAAGCAACAGTGCCTTCTAATTTGGACAAAGTTTTTCTTCTACTTCACAGATCTCTCCACAGCACCACTTCTTTCCTTGCTGTAACCCAAATCTTCCAATTCTTAATTGCATTACTCCTACAATATTTCTTTGCCCTTGTAATAGCAAAATTGATTCATATTCCTCCTTCATGTCTAAAGTTTGAAAGCATTTTCAGATTTACTCCTTTTAGGCATCTCTTAGTCACATTAATTTCAGGCTCTCCTTTAACAAGGGCCAAGTACATCTGGAGGCTGCTTTTCCTCTGAGTTGGCAACCTCTAAATAAGGTGTTTGTACCATGGGCATGCTGAAAGTTCAGAATGAGTGTGAGGGGGAAAATAAGCATTAACAGCTCTGCTCTGCTCCTGCAGCCTGCAGGAAGGTGCTGGTGAACAAGGGGTGCAGGATGGAAGTGAGGAGGAGCTGGCAGGACCAGCTCTGGTTGTTCTTGCTTCAGAGCCACACCAAGGCTGACAAAAATCTGTATTCAGCCTTCACATCCTTCAGCTGGAGCTCTGAGCACTGGATGAGCTCTGGATGCAGCACTGGCTTGGTCAGTGAGGCAAACTTCCAGATGGAGAATGCAGCTGTACCTTGATATATGAAGCTTATAAGGAACTTTGTATGAAACCTGGAGAAAGTTAATCTAGAAATAATTTTTACAGCTGTGAGAATGATTAGACACCACAGGCAAGCCAAATACATTATGAAACATCACTAGTGTTGCTATATTCTTCCAGTTCCTTGGTTCACTCTCCCTAGACACCAGATTAAAAATCTCTTTCAAAAAAGAGAACTGAAAGCTAATAGATATACTTCTATTAACATTAAAAAAAAACCGCAAACAAACCCGCAAAAAGAGGTATTGCTTTTTAAAATTATTTATCATATTACTAGAAAGAAGAAAAAAGTGTTGTGTTACAGTGCTAAGAAGGTTAAAAAGTTTGCCTTTGTACACTGGGTTTGAAGATGATCACATTTGCTTGGGAAAAAAAAACAACGTTTAGATTGTCTTAGTTATGCATAATCTCATTATTAAAAAGCACTGTGTGGGATGTTAATACTTTGTATAGAATCAGATGTAGTTTAGAATAGTTACAATTTATTTTATACCTTGAGTTTTCACTTAAGCTACAAGCTTTGGAAAATAGTTAAAAAGAAAAAAGGTGAAGTTGCTTGTGTGTGCTATATTTTGCTACTTGCCATTTTCAAGCTTAAATAGCAGTTTAAAAACATGAGCTTGCAAGAGGGAAAACTTTAGAAAAGGGGCACTAATTGCAGGTTCTGTATCCCTTAAAATCGGAACTACTGACATAATTTTTCCATAATTACATCTAAAAAATAATTTCCATAATTCCATTTATAAAAGAGTTACAGAGTTGCTTCTGTGAAAGAACTGGAGGTAAGTTCTTCTAAAAAAAGCCAGGGTATGTTGAAGTAAATCAAATCACAAACTATTAGTCAGATGAAGGCAGCCATCAGAGGAAACCTGGCAAGCCCAGACTTAGTAAGAGCACAAAAAAGAATCCATTTTGGTAAGACTATAACCAAAGAAAACCCAATTTTTTTAAGCAGTGGTATGTGCTGAATTTCTCATGTGATTGCTGATGTTTAACAAATGTACCTGTGCTTGCAAGACTCATGTAAAGAATATTCTTGATCTTTTAAACTCCCCTGAGAGTCTTTAAACAAGGCGAGAGGGATTTATTGTCCCATCTCTCTCCCTTTTCCTCAAAGTGGCATTTCATAACCAGCTGTCCATCACTGTGTTATGCTTGAAGAGCAAACAGAGCCATATGTCGTCCCAAAGATTCCTCATAAATGAATGATTTGGGGTTATTTTCAACTGTTAAAATCGATGAAGCAATATTTTAATGGAAGACAAGATCACTGTTATGCTAAGGATTTATCTACACTCACTGGAAATGGCTGTGTAACTATCTTTGCTATTCAACATTTACATTTGACAGACAAATTGGAGAGTCAAACATGTCCAATAACCACAACACTGGAACTCCATTTCCAAGTCATAAAATTCCGAAGTTAAACTAATTAAAATCACAAACATTTTTGACTGCTTACCCTAATAGTTTTGCGTGTTTCAAAACATTCCAAAATTTTGTTAAGGTGAGCTCTGTCACAGCCTTCTGAACAAGGAACCCAAAGTTTTGTTTGATTTTCAAAAGGAAAGAAACGTGCTCACTTACATGATTCCTTTTGTTTTCTCCATCTCTTATGGATGTAATAACTGTCTCAGAAAAAACTGTTGATCCAGTTTTGTTATCTGTAACCTGACACCAGAAAAGAACAAAATATCAAGCTACAGTTTTTATTAGTCCTTTGTTACTCTCAATCCTACATCCTGCAATAATTAACCCGCTCCCACCCACTCTTTTCTTCCCATTTTGCTGTCACTCTTAATAAATCATAATCTGAGGGGGAAAGCAGATGACAGAGCTACCTTCTTGTCTATTTAAAATGACACTGTAAAGGAGCCAACTGAGCAGGAGATGGTTGGGTTTTCTTTCCCCACGTAATAGCTGTAGCTGCACCCTATTTTTAGCAGGCCCTTTTTCAAAATAAATTGTTACTTCACACTAACTTTTCATGACAGGTGTCCTTAACAACGCCAAGCACAGAAGACCCAATCAAACCCCAAAGTAATTATCATCAGGAAAATTTTAACTCCAAATTATTTTGTGAATAAACACGTAAAACTGGGCTGGGGGTGGGAGGGGGAGGTTTGAAGAAAATGTGTTTAAGAATGGAGAGCTCACCATATACAAGTTTTCTCATACCTTATCAATTTCTTGATGGGTCTGAACAGTTCTGTTGCCCACTCTGGTTTCCGTGTTGGACTCGTTATGGTAGTTGGGAGGCAAGTCCTCAAAGCTGACTTCTGACAGCTTTCTTGCCCCTTCCTCTTCAGCTTCCATCTGCCCAGTGAAAAAAACATACTGAAAACAACTGAAAATTAGCAGAAATGTCACAAAAAGGACCAAGCCACGCTTCCTGTGCAGTGACAGACACTACCTGCTCCAGACACTGCCTGCAGCTGCTCTTTTCATGGGCCAGAAAAACAGGGCTGAGCTAAACCCTTGAGCTCTGGGCTGCTGAAGCCAAAGTCAGTCCCTGTGGGGGAAAAAGTGCACAGGCCAGTGGCAATTTGGTATCTGCACAGGCTGGTGTCAGTCGAGAGCCCAGCTTTCTGCTCTTCACAGAAAACCACTGAAAACTTGAGGCAGACTTTCCATTCTGACAAAGAAGAGAAAATATCCTCATAAGAGGGAAAAACAAAAGCCCCTTGGAGTTACCAGAGGCAGCCCTGTGGCTGAGGGTGCACACATCCAGAATTTAATTCCCTGTTTCAGTTCCGGCTGTCTTTGTGGGATGAAGAAGGGTGTGAATCTTGTAAACAGCCAAGAATAAATTGTGTCCTTTTATTTGCAACCACCCTAACAGAGCTGGAGGCAAAAGCTCAACCAGGATGAACACTAGGACTTTTCCCAAGACAAAATCTCTCCTTCTGGTGTCTCTGTTTATTTTAAATAACAGCTGCAAATCTTTCTAAGTGCAAACCATTTATCTCCTAAGACTCTGCTCAAACAATTCACACTTTGCACTGCATGCAGGCAGCAATCCAGAACTGACTACAGAAAAACAGGCAGGAATTCTGATTACACCCTTAAGCATCTTTGCAGCATTGTAAAGAATGGTTTGTCTCAATGCATTTGCAGTCTAAATCAAGTGGATAACAGTGGCAGATTTCAGAAACCATCCAGAAGACAGGAAAAGGTCCGAAATCATTTAATTATAGTAAACCAAGGTCGGTTTCTGCAGCAGGCTGTCAGTTACAGGTTTTTGTAGACTAAGTATTTTTGAATGAGAGGAAAAGAGAACTTGAAAGGAAGATGCTTAAAAGGTAGGGGAAAGAAAAGCACGCAAGAAAGGGGAGTGCAGAGACAAGGTGTTTTGACAACCATATGAGACAATGGCTTGGGGTCCGAACTCAGTTTCTGGCTTTGAAACGGATCCTGGGCAATCCTGGGCCAGCAGTTTGAGACCAAGACACGCAATTACACCACAAGCAAGCTGCTTCTCCGCACATTCTCAGGACGCTTACAGCCCTGAATCCCGGCTCGGGATGCCCTGAGCTCCTGCGGCACAAAGACGCTCCCGTACCTCTTCCCTGCGCTCCTCCCCCGCCACGCACCGTCCCTTCCTCGCTCCGGGCTCCAGCCGCACGCTGGCCCGGCCCATGCCGGGATGCGCACCGGGCGAGCCCCGAGGGCGGGCGGGCACCGGCGCTCCGGCTCCTCCGGGCTGCCCCCGGTACGGCAGCAGAGAGCCCCCCGCGCCCCCTCACCTCCTGCACGGCGTTGCGCAGCTTGTGCTGCGTGTCCTCCATCAGCGCCTCCACCTCCCGCAGCATCTCGCCCAGGCTGGCCGCCCGCCGCCGCCCGCCGCCCGCCGCGGGCCCGCACAGCGCGGCCACCAGCGCGGCCACCAGCGCCCAGCGCCGCATCCCGCTGGCCCTCGGCTCCCCGCTGGCCCCGCTGTCTCTCGGCTTCCCGCTGTCCCTCAGTTCCCCGCCGGCCCCGCTGCCTCTCGGCGCTGCCGCTGTCCCTCAGCGCAGGCGGGCGGGCCCGGCCCGGGCGGGCGGAGCCGCAGGCCCCGCCGGAGCCCCCGCCCTGCGAGCGGGGAGCAGGCAGAGAGAGGTGCTGAGGGGAAGGAGCAGGGCGAGCTTCCCCTTCAGAGCCGAGACTTTCTTCCTCCCGTTGGTAGGAAGGGGACGGTGCGAGCTGCGTGGCAGCTCCGTCGTGTGCTTTGCTTTCCAGCGAAGGCTCTCAAGAGATGCTCTCGCCTCACGACCTGCATCGGGCTGGCCAGCACCCCGCTCTGACTAATTGCCTTCAATTTTTTTTCTAAAAAACATTCAGGCAATATCACCTTTTTTTATCTCTGTGTGTCTTCCCCATTTTCCACGTCGTTTTTCCTCCTTGTGCTGTGCCCCAAGAATTTCACGGACACTTTTTGCTGCAGCCAGCTCACAGCTCCAGGACAGCACTGGTGTGCCGGGATAGAACTGGCCTATAAGTCTCATTTTATTGTGGAGCCTGCGTGAGAGGTAATGGTGGGTAAACTATGAAAGTCCTGAAGATTTCCTGCAAGTGCATTATTACAATAATCACCAGTATAAAGCCAGTGCTCCTGGCAGGCTAGGGCAGCTTCAGGCAGGTCTGAGTGCCAGCAGACATGCAGCAGAGCTGGGGATGTCCCTGCGTCCCCACAGGGAAGCCCTTCCCTCCATCTCCCAGCCACCACACATTATGTGCCACAGAAGGTCTTGTTCTGAACACACCATCAATCTCAGCTTACTGGTACAACAGTCTGACTTTTCTTTTTTTAATTTTCTTTCTTTTTTTAGGATGCGAACCTCTTGGACTACACAATGTAAGGAATAAAGAATGTTACCAGTTATCATGAATCAGTTAAGAGTTCAGCTGTGTTCCATCACATCGCAGGAAGCATGGCACATGAAACTGTGTTGGCAGAGAAATATTTAGACAAGGTATTCCTCTTTTCCACCTCTGCCTTTGTGGTAAGGTTTCCAATTCATCCACTGCCTCAAATCAGCTTAATAATATTGACAGTGTACAGGTGACACTTAGGTAACATCTAGAATTTTAACTCAGCTTTGAGCAGCAACTGAATGTTAGATTAGGTACGATGAAGACATTAAAAAAAAATGCCTGAGGCCCAAATTCCCAAAGGTCATCAGACTCCAAGGAAATGGACCTGAAGCTACATATTTCTTTGTAATATCTTTGTGAATTTGGACCTCAAACCAAACTCCCATAAATTTCAGAGGGACTTACACACTAAACAGAATAACTGAGGATCAGAAGGAGTTTGTAATATTGATCATCTCTTCTGGTCATTTGTTCTACTCTTTTTATCTTGTTTGATTAAAGCGACAGAGACAACCTCTCCAATAAATAAAATAACATTAAAAAAAAAAGCAACAAACCAAACTCATCTGTATTTAATACAAAGGAGCCCTTGTAACCAGGCTCTCTCTACTGATTTTTTACAGTGGGAAAAAAAAATCATGTTTATTGAAAATACTGCTTCTGTAGAAAAGCAAACAATAAATAGTAGGTTCTTATATTGGACTGGAACAAAGTCTTGTCCAAAATGATGTTAGGTAATGGATGCCAGAGAATGTCTTTTGAACTATAACAAATTTTTATAAGGTGCAGCCCAGAGAGCTAAACTTTTTCTGAGGTGAACTAACACAGCTAAAAAGCATCTCATATGTGGCACAAAAACACATATGATCTTTTTGCCAAAGTATAATTTATTCTTAAGCCTTAATTTATTAATTTAGAATGAACATAATGAGCCAGAATAATCTTAGCATATATATACACACATAGTTAGAAAAGGCACATTTCAGAGCTATTGCATGAAAGGAATTTGTAAGACTTAGATCAGTGTCAATACAAGCCCCTTGAGATGGATTTGAGGCAAAACCAGCCCCCTGTCACGGGGAATGCACTCTTGTCAAAGGCATCATCTGAATCAGTGATTCTGGAGAATAGAAATCACCTTCTGCTTGGATGAGCTTGCAGACAAAAGACCACGTTCCTGAAAGCAGCAGGGCAGGGAGTACATCTTTGATTTATTTTTTTCCCACACATTGTTTATTCATTTAGATACGGTATATTATGTTTTCCCTGTTTCAAACATCTGGGTTTTTGCATGTCCATTTACTAATTTACTTAATTACTGTCTTCCCTCTCCAACAATTGTACTGTGGACAATCTGTCAGCTGCAGAAAAAAGGAATAGCAAGATGTGGTAAGAATGCTTTTCCACTCATACGAGGTTTTGCAGTATGGAAACTTGTAAATGTTGGGACAAGAACTTTAAGTTACTGGATTATTTTAAATTTTCTAGTAGTTGGATTATTATATGTCAGGGAGTCATTAAACACTGACCTACCAGCACACAGTATGCTCTTGACAGTTTCCTCAAGCACAGCCCTCATGTGGCAGCTGTACTTTATTCAGGAAAAACAGAATTACACAAATACAAATATTGTTCAATTTAATGGCTCATTGTTTAGCAAGGCAGAAGGTATACATCTGAAATAGGAACATACTTTGACCTCATTTGTATTGCTTTGTGGAGTGTATTTTCTTTTTAAGGTACTCCAGGTTTTAACTGGTGAAGACCCAACTAATGCCCCGTGCTTTTTCCTTAGTGTGCCTTGCATTGTGTGGGTTCCTCATGACCAGAGCAGATGGAGCAGTGAGTCACCTCCCTGACCTTATCAGAGCTGTGACAACAGGAGACCAGATGGAACCTCTAACCTGGATCTGCTTTTCAGCCCACAGAAATACAGCATGTTGAGTTTGCTCTGGCTTACACAGACTGCACAGCCTGGTAAGTGCTCTCTTCTGCTATCACAAGGGCACATCATATTTGCAAGCAGGCAGCTGCATTCTAGTACCTGGCCTAGACACCTGAAATGCCTCTCCAAGACTTTGCCTCCATTTAAAATAACGTTGTGTGGCACAAAGGCTCTGAAAGTTTTCAGAAAGTATTTATTTATTTTTACTTGTAATGCATAAGTCCATGTCGATGGATGGGAATCCTTTTGCTTCTCAAACATACTGTCCATGTGCACTCAGATATGCAGATGTGGCACTCAGGGATGTGATTTAGTGGTGGGTTTGGCAGTGGCAGGTTAACAGTTGTTAAGGTCTCTAAGGAGCTGTAAGAATGCTTTCCCTTACCAATGTTCTCTGATTCTATGCAATCAGTTAATGCTGTAAAACTCCTGCATGCCTTTTTTTTCCAACTTCCCAGGAAGTACAATATTGTCTGATGAAGGAAAAAGTTAATTCTCTTTACACAAGTGTGCACGATTTTCCTGGAGAGTGGGGAGAGCATCAACTGACAATCCACAGCCACAAACACCCTCGTGAGGACTGTGGTAGTATTTCATGCTTTTAAGACTTTGTGGTTAAGAAAACTGGGACTGGAATACAGAAGCTGTATCTCCTGATGTTTAGCAATATCATAAACATTTATGAAGTTAGGAGGACTACAAAATTATATATTAAATCATCAAAACCATAAGTTTTAATTCATTAATACATTAAAAAATAGGTCTTTCTAATTAATACCCTGTGAGTGTTATTATTCAAATTTTCTTGTTTATTACATAGTCAAAACTTAGATTAATATCATTGTCATTTCAAAATAAAGAAAAATGCAAACAAAGTGATAAAACCTTGTAAAAAAATCACTCATATACTCTGATTTCCCATTTGCTATTTTACATCCTGTGTGTATCTAACATCACATTGTTAATGTCACAAAAGCCAGAACAAAATCCAAGCCAATATCAGGCATTGTACTTTCATAGATTTCTTTTATTTTTATAAATAATTTGCCGTTATTTATTCCCACATAAGAGGAACAACTTCAACATTTCCAGCTTAAAATTGCCTGCCGTTATGAATTACAATATTTTGTACATCTTTCCATTATGGAATTGAAGCTGGCTTGAATTAATATTCCTTCAAAGATGGGTATTGCTGCCTTTTTTCATTTTTACTGTTTCATGCCACACCATTTGTAGTGGTTGTTATGGTGAATAAGTTTGTGTCTTACATGAAGAAGAACAGAAATCCCACAATAAAGGTTAGCCATTCACAGCTGGCTGCTTCCCCGAGGCTACAAAAACACATGAATCCTCCATTTGGAAAGATCTGACTTTTAAAATCCATAAATCAAAGGTGGTCTATTCCCTTTGCTCAAGGCAGGGCCAGCCAGTGCTCTCAGCTGACTGTGAATCTTCAGAGCTGCAAGAGCCAGTGCAAAGTCACTGCCACACTGATATTTGACTTGCACGTGGTCTTTGTCAAAACACACAAGAAAAAGCCACAGAGTGCTTCAGAACAAAGAAATGCATTTCATTAAGGAAATCTAGGTGCCCCCTCCATCTCGACTTGCTTGACTTTGTGAATCATTATATAATCCATTTTTCTCACGTTAGTAGTTTTTTTTACTTTAGCTCTTATCAGTGAATTTGGTTTCCTTTTTCCAGCTTTTTTTTCCCCAATATTTTCCTGGCAAGATGCTTAAATAAGTTCCTATTGAAATATGGAGGGGAAAGTTCATAATCTATATGGAATACCATCTGCAAAAAAAACTCAAACCCTGAAGCACATCCCTCTCTAAGTTCAAATTATCTCATCCTGTTGGAACTGTTATACTTCTTTAACACAAGTTCATTGTGAACAAAAAACATTTTAAAGCAATTTTCTTTTAAATTCAGGATTTTTAAAAATTGAAAGTAATGGGTTGTGGTAGCCTTTGTAGTTTTTGACGTGAAATTTTTATTGTTTATGTAAAAAACCCATAAATCTACTGAGATATCAGAATTGAGACTGAGTCATCTGCAGGGAAAGGTTTTCATAAGCATCCTATTTTTTTAAAAAAATCAAACACTTCTGCGTAGTTCAATGCAAGGGAGGATTCCACTTTCAATGGAGGCCTGAGTTTAAGAATCAGGAAGGGTCAGGGGCAGAGGCAAGGACGAAACTGTGAAAATTAAAACAAGTTATTTTGAAATGCTTGGATACAAGTGGGCCAAAGTGCTACTGTGGAGTGAATTTTTGTGGTCACAACAAAGGAACAGGGCCTGCCAACCTCATGCAAAAAGAACCCCTAGGTGACAC